TTGCTCAAAAGGGACCTGCAGCTCAGCCTGACAGGGAGCGGCCTCAGTGGGATCGACATCTGTGGACAGCAGGTCTGTTTATGTGAGTTGCCTTAAGTGAAAGCTTTCCCCCAACACCGAAAACCGTGAGAGTGCCAAGACAAATGCCGACTTGTTTGTGCTCTCAGAGAGATCTCCCAAGCGCTGAAAACTTCATGATGGGAATGAACCCCCTCCCCTTTCTGGGTCCAGTTCAGACTCAGCAAGTTCTGCAAGCTCTTGGGATCACTACGCTTGCCAACTGAAAATTAAAACCGATTTGGCTAGATAATAAAGGGCCATGAACATAATTCTTTTTTTTTTCTTAATTTGTCAGGAATTTGATGCTCCTGCAGGGATCAAAGGGAGACGTTTGGAGCTGCAGTAAGGGGAAAGTGTTCCGTCTGAAAGTTGTTCGTTCCTTTTTAATTCTCCAGCCTTGATTCAGCCTTAAGCAGAAAAGATCCATGGTGTGAGGTGTACTGGCTGTTTTTCAGGCCACCAAAACCAAACTAGCTCTGTGCTGAAAAACGAGCATTCTTGTGGGGCTTCATAGACATAGAGCTCCTACACAACAGCATCTAAGTTAGAAGTATGCAGTTATAATTTTAATTTTTTTACACTTATTTACTTTGGGGCTTGCAGCACACAGTTGACCATTCAGAGGACAACTAGTTGGAGTCTCTTTGCCTAAAATGTGGGATTCGGGAGCAAACTCAGGTTGTCCGGCTCGGCACAAAGCCCTTTGCCTACTGCTGAGCCATCACCACCAGCCCTTGAACTACAAATATTTTTTGCTGCATGCTTTTAATAAAGGCTTCTGGGGAAGGAGGAGGAGGAGGAGGAGGAGTGGGAGGAAGAGATTATTATAATAAAGATGAGTGAATGAGTGTCAGTTAGGAGGTTTGAGTCAGGAAGCAATCATTAGCATTTGCTGGGTGGCTGCCACCTGCTGTGTGTGTTCTGGGCACACTGTTGGTTTATGTGTGATTGTATCTTACAGAATCAGAAACTGAGTGACAGAGAAGTGGACAGTGTCCCTGAGGTCAAGAAGTCAGCAAGGGACAAGTAAAGCCAGCATTTAAATCCATGCAGTCTTTCAATTTAACCTGGGCTGTTAATGTCTGCATTTCCCCTCCTCTTGGGACCTTTAATCATGCCTCCCCCCACCCTTTGGCAGAGGCGATGTGGTGATCTATAAAGGCACAGGTCCCAATTCTAACAACCCCTTCAGAGTTCATGGCAAAATAAAGCAAATAGCACATACTTCATTAAAGTCCTTTTGTAAGAGCAATGAAATTCATCCTTTAAACCCTTCTCATAATGTATATGAGACTATTTAATTGAACATTTTAATACTCAAATTCTTTCTAAGCTTTCACTCCAAGGCAGTTAATACCAATAAATCACAAATATAGCTCTTGCGTTCTACTTTTGAAAATAAATAAAATAATAATGCCTTTAAAATGCATGCATACATTCTGCCAGCATGACAGCTATGCCTTTGGCTGGGCAGTCCTCTCTCTGATGTTATTACTGACAGACTTGCATGCTGTTGCTCTCTTGAAATACCTCACAGATGCACTTTACATACACCCTTCATCTACCCTTGCCTTCTAGCTTGTTAAAAATTTATTCATGGGTAAAATTTAAAAATAAACAGAAATAGCTACCATCATAAGTTGCACAGTCATCTGTAATCACAACCATTATAGCACATCAGTAAACATCAAAACAAATCACATCAGAATGGAAAAGTGAGAAGCAATAGCATTACAGACCTGTCTGCAATCAGCTCCATGGTCCTTTAAGTGGAAAAGAAAAGACACAATTCTGGAGTCCTGATACTTTATAATTGTGACCGGGTTCTTCTGCATTTCCTGGCTTGCCCCATCACATCAGGTGTCTGGACACTGCAGTTAAGAGTAGTCAAACTGGATGACTTTTGCCAGAGCTTACCTGGTTCAGTATTCACTCACTCGTTTATTCACTCATTCACTCGACAAATACTGAGTGCTTCCATGTATGTTTTTACACCTGTCTCATAAGAAAGCTCACTATAGTCAATGACATCATTTATTAAATGCATCAAGGGTTCCTGCCTTCTAGCTTTCAGATGTTTTCCTGGCAGCCTCATGTTCAAATAAGGAGCTCCTTCCTGTAGGACCCAGACCAAAATATAGACCCTGAATCCTATCCAAAGCGTCTTACGTGGAGTTCATTTCCCCTCTGAGTATATTAGAGCCTAATCATGTCCAGACCTCAGTGGTAAAGCGTCCCAAAGCTGCGTATGTGTCACCTATCTCTGACTATATGTCCTGCATATGCATACCTAAAAGCCCGGTATCTCTTCTGTCACTATTGAGAGGAGTTGGACAGAGCAAATGTGCCTGAATGGAAATAAGAGCAAAGGAGTCAGCATCCCTAGAGTGTTACTGTCTTGACGCCGTGACAAAGCACTCTGACAAAACCCACTTAGGGAAGAGAGTGGTTTTGATTGCAGGAGCTGGACACAGCTGGTCACGTTGCCCCCACAGTCAGGAAGCAGAGAGAGAGGGTTGCTTATGCTTTGCTTGCTCTCTCTTTTTGATTCAGTCCAGGACTCTGGCCAATGGAATGGCACCACTCAAATTTAGGATGGGTCTTCCCACTTCCATTAGCATAATCTAAATAATCCCTCACGGACACGCCCACAGGAGTGTCTCTTTCAGGATTCCACCTGTGGGATAATCAACATTAATCACCATACCTATTGAGAGGACCACCCCCAAGGACTGATCCTAAGGCCAGGCATATTGGCACATTCCTGAAATCCCAGCACTTGACGGTTGGAGACAGGAAGACCCGGAGATCAAGACCATGCTCAGCTACCTGAGAACAAGAAAATCTTATACTTGGATTTCCCAGAATCTTTCAACCTTACAAATGTTACTTTCAGTCAGAAAGTTCCTTAACAGTTTTCATAATAAAAGACCGAATGAGGGGGAGAGAGGGAGAGCATTTAGCCTTCAAGACAAAGGCTAAAACATGGCTGTTTACTCTCTAGATTTGGTTTTGGCTACAAGGAAGTCAGAGAGGGTAGTAAGGGGGAAATCAAGGTAGAAAAGTAAGGGGAAAATTACATAATAAATACAGTAACTCTATCATGACTATTCCAAATGCCCCTAAAAGTCTCTCTCCATCGCCTTCCCCTCCATCTCTCCTTCCTCCCCCCCCCCACCTCCTTTTCCCTCTCTTCTCCACTTTTAAAAAATATGATGTCCTTTTCTGCTGGAACAGAACAGCTGTAAAAATGAGACCTTGAGGAAATCCATGGGCAGGAAATTCTTCAACCTCTGCAAGGCAGCTAGCAGTCAATCAAAGTGTGGCTATTCACTTTTTATAACAAAAGAAATGATTTTAAAGCTTCCTTGTTTACATGACTGCATTAGATTTTTAAGAAGCCCCTAATAGAAACTTGCTGACTCATCACAGAACTCCAGTTGATTCAGAAAATGCTGTGAAGAAAATCTCTGCTAGGTGTTTGGGGCCTTCTTATTCTGGATCGGGCTTCAGCAGACCTTTAAATTGCACCCCAAGACTTGGTTCATCATTTCAGACCTGTTGGGATTTTACTTATTTGATTTTCATTTTTCGATTCCAGGTTTCCTCCTGTGGTTAGTCATTCAACAACATTCTTTGTTCTACCTTGAAATAACACAGACAGCAACACACACCGCAACAGCAAAAATTCATTTGCCAAACACAGCCAGACGCATGAATCACGGGACTGTTGAGAGATGGGTTTTTAACTTGTTACGGAGGCACAAAACAGGACTTGCATCGGAGCCAGCAGGCTTTCTGTTTCTGAGCAGATGTGAAATGTGTTCTCTTCCACTGGTGATGGGCCACAGGAGGTTGGGGCAAACAGGCTTGGTTTAATTCAAAGTCACCTGAAACCTTGTTTGAAGTTCATTAAGGCGATTCAATTCAATTCAGCAAACATTTACAATGGGGCCTTCTGGGAAGCGCTGTGTGTGTTGATGGCTTTGGAAGCCTTTGTGAGACCTGAGATCTCCACTATCCCCTTACATACCAAGGACTAGCAACGGGAAGCATCTCTGCACAGCTTCTCCTGCCTCGCCTCTGTGACCCTCGGAAGACGACTGGGACACACTGGGACCTGGTCTTGATGCTTCAGGTAGACTGGCTGTCCAGCAGTCCCCTAGGAACCACCTGTCTCCTCCCAAGTGCTGCTATTACAAGCGCATGCCGGCACACCTAGCTTTTCATACATGGGATAAGCAGATCAAACTCAAGTGCTCACGCAGGAAGGCAAGCACTTCACTGACTGAGCCATCTCTGTAGCCATTATTTGCTCGTTTTAAACTCTTGGCATAGCATGAACCAGACAACAGAGCCATTCCCTGGACCATGAGTCCCAAATCCATGCCTCTGGGGTCTCCATCCTCACTCCAATCCACATATTATCAATGTACACATCAGTGCTTCTCAACCAGGGCTAAGTTTGCTGCTAGGGTGGGGGTGGGAGTTTGGGAATGTCTGAAGACACCGAGGCACAACTAAAGGGGAGGTGGTGCTAACGGCTTCCGGAAGGGAGAGGAAGACAGGGATACTGCTTAGTGTGGATGCAGTTCAGAAGTCACCCGCTATGAGGAGACATTAGAAAGCCCCAATGCCCACAGCACTGTGACTGGGAGATTCTGATGTACACCATACAATGTTTAGCACTGCTGACCTATTGTGACTTTTCTGACATCCCTCCCGATTTGCTAACTCAGCTATCTAATACTAGGTTAATCTAATGCTTCTGAATCCTGGCAACCAAGCACAACGCCCTCCCCAAGAAAGATGCTTAATAATACAGCGGTGGTGAGAAGTCACGTGTCTATTCAGATATTCTGTCATGGCCTCACAGGTATTTATTGGTTTTTAAGGGGCGTTTCCTTGCTTGCTTTGAGACAAAATTTCTCTGTGTCATTCAGGCTGACCTCAAACTCTCGATCATTCTGTCTTAGCCTCATGAGTGCTTGAACCATAGGTTTATCTCAACATATCCAGCTTGGATATCTTTCTGGGGTTGTCAAGGTGGACAGTAGGTATGTGATATGAGCAGTAGAGACACAGTCCTACCTCAGGAAGCCTCCATCTAAATGGAACAAAGGGCGTGTGAGGAAGATGTGCAGGGCAAGGAACAAGGGGGTCAGACCTAGGGCACCAATGGGCAGAAAATTCCTGGAGGAAGAGGCGAAATCGAACATCCGGGGGATGAGAAAGAGCTGAACCAAGAGGAGGAAGTTATGTTCTAGGTGGGGAACTGTGTAGCAATGCTAAGACCAAGAGATAAGAAAGCAACACACATCGGAGGCCAGAACTCAGGTGCGGGGCAGGGTGAAGGAAATGAAGGGACCTGGGAGACCAGAAGCCACTCAGCAGCCTTAGGCAGAGCTGCAGCGAGATCTCATCTCGTTATGAAGCATCACTCTGGCCAGGAAAATGCAAAGTCAAGTTCGGAGATCCCCACATGCTAGCCAGGCAGGCCAGTACGAAGGACAAGGACAAGTGGTGGCAAGGAGGCAGAGGAGCAGGGACGCGTGCGCAGCCGTGAGAGCGTAAACCGCCGCCTCGGTGGTGCCGTGGACGGGCCGCAGAACAGGGAAGGAGAACCGCCATTCGCTCCAGCCATCTCGTTTCCAGGTGTGTCTTCAAAAGACCCGAGCTCAACACCACAAGGGAACAGGAAACACCTGTGCTTCCATGCCGCTGTCGCTCCAAAGTAGAGGCAACCCAAACGCCCACAGATGGGCAGATAGTAATTCAAAAAAATGTGATACCGACACCTGATGGAAAAGTATTCAGTGTTTAAAAAGATGAAAATCAGGCAAACTTAGCGGCCTGAGGCAAGAAGACAGTGAGATTGAGGCCAGCCTGGGCTATAGAGCAAATTCTAAGCCAGCCTGAGCTATATAGCCTTTATCTAAAAACGAAACAAAACAAACAAAAAACCATCACCAACAGCTAAAAAAAAAATCTTTAAAAATGAGTGAAAACTTAAATCCAGCCATATTTAATACATGAATTAACCAGGAGGGTGTTGTGCTAAATGTAATCAGCCCATCTCAGAAGCACAAATACCACACGGGTCTCCCAAATGAAGTAGTTAAAATACTCAAATATAGAAGCAGAGTTTAGAAGGGCGGTGCCAGCAGCAGAGGAATGCCACCAAGGTAAGCAAGCAGCACTTGCAAATATGTGTGTGAAGGGGGACTTCCTGCTAATGTTCACACCCCTACAACAGTCTGTGGGGAGGAGAGCAATGGGAAACCTCAGGTGGTGGTGGAAATGTTTCACCGCATTGATTACGGCAGCGCCTTCCAGGGTCAAGCTTGCCAGATTGTATGTATTAATTATGTGTAGGGTTTTTTAAGGTAACAATTATCCCATACTTTTTAAAGAGTTTTTTTTAAGGGGCGTCAGTCCCTACCCTCTACTAGCGCTGAGCAGTGCTACAGAGGCTTGTGGAAGAGAAGTAGAAGCTGGTTTCTACCTTGAGGGGTTTTATTCTGGCCCAGTGAGCCTCGGTCACAGGGTGTTGTGGAACATCCTTTCCTGCCTCTCATGACTGCAGGAGCCTGTGTGGCAGCAGGCTGGCGTGCCCGCACCGTGCAGTGGTGGGAGATGGGTGTTCGTGTACGCCAGAGGGCCAGGGAGGGAGTGGACAGCAAGACCACCACTCCAAGTGAGACTGGAGACTGCCCACTCAGAGCATCATGGAGCAACTTCTTATTATGTTTAGTAATGGCATGGCAGACTCCTGCACCTTGGAGGGCTGTCCTGTCCCCATCTGCTAGTGCCTGCAGTGACTAGTGACAAGAGCGTTTCTGTTGAACTTGTTGCCAGCTTTTCTGCTACCTCCTCAATTGTAAAATAAACTTTATAGATTAAAAAAAAAAGGGGGGGGCCATCAGTCCCTCTGAGTGTTGTGTACAGTTTGGGTTGGGAGCTAGATAGCTTTGAGAGTCACAGGGAAGAACTCCTTCACAGTGACAAATTACCCCAGCATTTAGATAGTAAGGTTTTGAAGTGTGTGAGGGCATGCTGGGTCCTCACAATCTGGACCAAGAAAAAGCATTGCAAGGCAGGCACGATGGTATAGGAGACCCTTGTCATCTGGGAAGCAGAAGCAGGAAGTCAAGGACTTAAGGGCAGCTTGAGCAGCCCACTGAGTTTGAGGCCATCCTAGGCTGTGTTGCACAGCAAGATCATGTCTCAAAAAATGCAGCTTTAAAAAAAAAACTCAGAGGTTGAAATCATTTCAATCTTGTTACAGTGAGTATGAAGTAAGGTGGCATTTACAAGAGCCCTCAGCCTGGGGCTAAACAGTAGAAGTAGCAAGAACAGATATTTAGCTGTCCTCACTAACAACAATCTTAGAGGTACGGACTAACGGGGACGGTGCGTTTGTCTGCTATAACTTAATACCAGCACTTGATTTCACTCAGTGGACTTTCAATCAACATTTATTTACAGTGCATTGGGTTAAATTTGATTCCATGCTCACCAACAAACTTCCTCATTACCAGTGAGCTTCTTGTGAGCATGTTTGTGCAGGTGCAAACACCCACAAGCACATTGTGAATGACCAAGGTCAACATCACGTGTCTTCTTCATGCTGATTAGTTTTTGTCAACTTATCACAAACCTAAACAAATCTAGGAAGAGGGAAACTCAACTGAGAAGCTGCCTCCAACAGATTGAGAAGTGGCATGTCTTGGGGGGGCTTTTTAAAAAAATGAATGATTAACACGGGAGCCCTAGTCCACTGTGGACAGTGGGCAGGTGGTCCTGAGCTTTATAACAAAGCAGAGAAAGCCAGTAGCAGCACACCTCCATGGTCTCTGCTTCGGTTCCTGCCTGATGGACTGTGACCTATAAGATGAAATAAATACCTTGGTCATGGTGTTTATTATAAAACCAAACAGAAATCTAGGACATTCCTCTGTCTCTCTCCACCTTCCTTTCTGGGACAGGGTCTCTCAATAAAATTAGATCTTACCAAATCAGAGAGACTTTCTGACCAGAGAAACCCTGGAATTCTCCTTTCTCCCCCTCCCAGTTCCTGGACTACGGATACATGTTGCCATGCTTGACTTTATGCGTTGGTGCTGGGAATCTGTGCTTAGGTTCCCTTGGTTACACAGCAAGCTCTTTTCTCACTAAGCCATCTCTCCAGCCCTTAAACTTTTTTCTATGAGCATAACTTGTTCCGGTTGATCAAAAATTTTCAACTCTAGTTGGCACTTCCATTTCTACCATAAGTGATGCAGTTGTCATTGACAATGCAATATTTATCTCTGACACCTGTGGTTGTCTACCCAGCATCCTTCTCTTCTGCCTTCCAGTCATTTACTTCTCCCCTTACCATACATCCTCTGTGTTTCTGACTGACTGGCCCCATTTTCAGCTTCATGTGGGTCCTGACTGCTTTAAGTCAATCATCACACCTCACCATGGCCTAACTGCTCTAATGTCTGTCAAATTCAAGAAGAATGCCATTAAGAAAACTAGAGCCGAGGTGATCCCTGTTCCTGAAAATGTAGCTCCTGGCCATAAAGGAAGCCAGTTCGCTACCAGATGGATGGCTAATTCTGCACATCTGTCTGACTGGATTATCATGCTCAGATGGGAATACTGCTAGGGAGGGTTTTCAAATATGTACATACTTTTAGGATTGGAAGAGTTAGAGTAATGCAATTTACTCTGCACATTATAGAGTGAAAAGGGGGCTGCCTGAAGACACGACTTTTCCTGCAGACTGCCTCTCCTAGGACTGTATAGATGGGTTCTTTCAATCTCACTCCAACCTCCCTACTTGTTCTCTCCATCTGAAGAACTCTGACTAACACAGGCATTGTGGGGGAAGTCATTCTGAGAAGAAACATACGAGGAACAGGGCCAAGACAACCATAGAGGATATAAACAAGAGCCTGGATCAGAACATGGTGAAACCTGTCCATACCCATCAAGATAAATTCATTGCCAAGCAACAGAAAGCCCACTGCCTTAAGCCCCATGGAAATTTCGTGTGCCCCAGAGAGCACAAACCCCAGTAGAAGAGACTCTAGGGTCAGCTGGGTCTGGTCACTGAGTTCACTGACATCGCCACCAGGAGGTGAGTTCTGCCCTTATCTGTCTCATTACCCACAATGCCTCATCCCAGTCTCAGGCCCTCCTACTCACTGGTTAACACCATCAGAGTCACCCATTTCCTCTTTCCCATCTACTAGGAGAGACTGGATTTCACTGGTTCTGTGTCTGAAAGGCAATGCTGAATCTTTCCACTGTGGCATTTACCCAGATTTATCTCTATCAAGGGTAGCAGAGAGGGGATGCATAATAGGTATAACTGTCAGGACCTACCCTCAGAGCTTGGCCACTCCCTCTGGCTACATGGCAGCTGTAGAGGACTGGAGTGGATACCAGGCAGGCTAAAAAAGGCTTTAGGCCCAACCAATAACCTTTTCACTACAACCTACCTTTTCAAACAATTTTGAATTGGATCATTAGTGATAATAATAAGCAAAGTTCCCTAACTCTTAACATAGCCAGTGACCTCATCTTCAGGATCTGATGGTCTCTGAGCTGCTTGATGAAATCAAATTTCTAGGTCATCAGGGTAAAAGATCAGTCCTTAGTTCCTAAGTCCTTAGACCACGTCACCCTGTGACACCTGTTTCTCTAGTCCATGCATCCAATTCACCTTCCCTTTGTCTACCCAAGCCCTAAAATTCCCTAGGTCCATAATTTATTTATTTGTGCCCTCTGAGCTCTTGGCTTCAAATGACTACTACCTGACGTATCCTTCTCCTTGAACCCTACCCCTTGTCCTGTCATGTCCATCCACAGGTCACCCATCCAAGATTACACCAAATCAATGCCTCCCCTGCTGCTGTTACTAGCGTCTTGGAGGACAAAACACTCACATTTACTCATTAAGATATTTAGAACCAGATGAACTTCTAATTTCAGCCTCAAAATCACCTTAAGAAATGAAGCCTGGATCTGTTCTTCATAACTGGGGAAAGTGCGACCCAGGGGAGTTCAAAAGCTTGACCAGGTCTGTGTCACCAGGGAGGTTTCAGTCCTGGTTTATCTCTTTGCAAGCCTGCATTCTTTCCACGGCACTATGAGGAACTACACTCCTCAGTCTGTGATACAGTCTGTGGCCCAGGTAGTGTTTGGTGCTGGTTAGGGGTCTGTAGTTCTAATGCATATTTGATTGACTTCTTATCATACCACCTGTCTTCCAGACCCTCCCTCATGCCAACACCCCCATCTACTGTCTTTCTGACCTTAGGATTGGGAGATAACGGCCTCCTGTATCACAGACACTACACCCCTATGGTGTGATCTCCACGTGTGTCCCCATCTTCATCACAATGCGTCACAGCATCCTTCCTAACTCCTCTCCAGGATCAGAGGAAGTGAACCATCTTCTGGAATGCTCTTGCTTAGTCTGCTTCCTGCAACTACCCCCTGTTCTCTTTATCCACCAGTTCCAATCCTCATTCCCTGGGTCCTTTCCTTTATACCTGTAATACTTTCCATCCTCCTCGTTCACAAAAACTCACAGTGTTTCTCAGGAACTCCTGAAGCTTCCTGCTTCTCATCGATTCTCTCTTCCAACTCCCTCCCAAGCTGGGTCTGCCCTTCCCTGTGTTTGTCCTTCAATTACGGTCCTGCTTTGAGCCTTCTACCCCACCCCTCCCTTCACATGCCTACACACAAAGATTCTCAGGGAAGTTGAAACTGACCTCTTTCTGAAGCAAGTGCCTCTTTCAGGGTTTGCCCCTCTTCCTCCCATCTCCAGTCTCCCGCATGACCGTCCACCCACTCTTTGAAATGGGATGTTCTGTGACACTGCTGCTTCCTGAACTTTTTTCCAGTTCTGTCACTGCTCTTGGGCAACTCTCTTGGAGAAGTCCATTTACTGTTGGCTTAGAAACTCGCACCTGTGTTGGTCCCTAACAGCGTATCTACAGCCTTGATTTCCAGTGTTCTCCAGTGTTGGTCCTCCTGCATGCCACAACTGATGTCTAGCTCAGTGTCTCTGAGCATCCTTTTTTTGTGTCACCTTCCGGAATGACTTCCCATTTCAACTGCCATACAGCTGTGTTTGGATTCTCAGGCCCCAAACCTTAGTCTCAGTGTGTATAGATTTTTTTCTTTTTCTTTCTCTTCCTTGCTCATTCAGTCCTCATGGCCTTTTATTTCTTTTCTCTAGAAATTGACTAACAAGCCAGTCTTAGTCTGCTTCATCACCTCACATCAGTATTGCTACAGCTACTGTGCCTCTGCCCAATCCTCTGGCCTCCAGACCACCAGCCCTTGCCATTTCAAACTCAGCAATCCCCTCTGTTCCTTTTATTTGGGAACACCCTGCAATCCTCCTTTACCTGCTATAGCAAGTCTGTGGTGTGCCAGTGACTTCCCTGATAGTATCCCCACAGCCCCCCCTCCTTCATAGGACAGCATCTTTCTGGATTGTATCCCAGCTCTTAATGAGCTGCACAGACCCCCACCCTGTCAGGGACAACCGAAAAAGCTATCACAAACATGGAAGATCTGTTTGCTTTCCCATTCAGTGTTTGCACCTATAAAGATTCGTCTGCTATGAGAAGCAGGAAGAAATGGAAACAAAGCCCCATCCTTGAGCAATTTGCCATTCAGTAGGAGAACAGAAGGAAGGCATTTATAAACAACAGTGACTCCACCAGAAGAGGGGTTTCTAAAAAGTAATCACAAGATCACACATGCATCTTTAAAAATCCAGATGTTGGAGTAGGCAAGATTGCTCACTGGGCAAAGGTACTCATGACCCAGGCATGAGTTTGATCTCCAGAACCCAAGAGGTAAAAAAAGAGAACCAGTTCTCACAAGTTATCTTCTGACTGCCACATGAATGCACAGGTGTGCTCATTCCCACACTCAATAAACAAAGAAACAAATAAATGATAAAAATAAATAAAAACCCAAATGCTTTATATGTGTGTATATGTGCACACACACTGAAAGACCCTTGCTTTTCTGCCTCCCCTATGCCCTCATGACAGCAGTAACCATTAACAGACTGTTATATCTTTTCACACATAGTATATGTGTTATACTCACATATAATTACATGCGGGTGTATATGTACATATATATATACATGTTTTACAAAAATAGATCATACATACATATTATCCTTCAAATGTTTCTCATTGAAAGTTATCTCGATTCTTTCGATTTGTAGCTGCATAGCTGCACAGTGTTCTCTGGCACTCAGCCTTTCCCTAGAGATAATCACTAACTCCTACAGGTTCTTCAGTGAACATCCTTCCACACATTTTTAGTTTTGTGCTGGTAAAGGTTTAGTAGTTGAGTCTCTAAAATAAAAAAATTAGTCCCAAGTTCTAACTTCTTGCCAATTTCCATGGTGTGAATACCCTCACTCTATGTAATTTTAAAATACTGCCATAGGACCATGGAAAGGGAGCCAGTAGCTGTGCAAAGTCAGCTTGGGCTAGTAGGCACATGAACTCCAGTACTGCAGATTATACTGTATATATTCTTCTGAGTGTTTCACAACATAAGAAAGCAAAATATTAAAAGGCAATTATCACTTGCCAGACAAGGGAAGCATAACTAGCTTATTAGCCATAATAAAGTAGGGCTGTGAATTAAATGCATTCCTCCTGCAGCCCAAAGAAGGCCCCTCATAGTCTTAAACTGGCTCTGCTTAACAGCCAAGGACATTTCAAAGCTTTCTGCTTTGTTGCCTGAACAAATTATTTAAGGAAAGTAGACTTGATAGACAACTAAAATATGTTTTAAAGACTCAGTAGAATTGAATTCACCAATTAGTATACTGTGACACACAGAGAACTTGATGAGATCATGCTGACCTCTCTTTGGCAGACTCATAAGAACAGGGCTGAAGTGCACACAGGTGCACTAAGGACCACTTCAGACTTGAGGGACATCAGAATTGCCCACCGGTTTTACCAACCCACTATGATTGGACCATATACACAGGCTTTCTGACTCCATAGGCCAGGGACTAAGGCTAGGGGTTTGCGTTTGTCAAATTCCTTGGTAGTTTTAGCAGTGGTGGTGATGACAATGGTGGAGGTGGGTGTTGGTAGTAGTCCAGTGACTTCAAGGAGAACCACCAACTGCTCTATATGAAATCTAAGCCCAAAGCCTAGGATCTCCCATATTCTTCCACTATATGAGTCTCTACTACTAGACCAAGTTCTCCCAAGTACAGACTTTCTTCTTGTTAAACCACAGACATGGACTGGGGAGATGCTCAGTGAATAAAATGCTTACCACACAAGGTCATGCTTGGCTGAAAATCCCCCGAATACGCATTAAGACCAGACACAGAAGCACGCATCTGTAATTTCAGTGCTTCTAAGATAGACATAGGAGGATCCATGGGGCTTACTGGACAGTGGGTCTAGCTAATCAGTGAGCTCTAGATTCAGTTAGAGACCCTGTCTGAAAACATAAGATGGAGAACAACTGAGGAAGGAGTCTGGTATCAAGCTATGGTCTCCACGTATGTGCATACATGTGCTCATGCAGTCAAGCACACACACACATACACAAACACACACACATACACAAACACACACACACACACACACACTCTAGTGCCCTTCTGCAGTGGTGACATTTTCCCGCATTTCTTGTCTCATTCAGTATTTCCCGCATTTGTTGAGTGTCTTGAAATAACAAGCACCCTAGGCACCAGGGACTCAACGCTGAATGAGATATGAAGAGCTCTATGAAGAGCTCCTGTCCCCTTAGAGGCTTACCTTCCAGAAGACAGCAGACACACAAACAAGCAAGCAAACATGCAGTGGTAGGTACTGGGGAAGCGGGTGTGGCAAATGGGCAAAGAAGAAGCCCTCCGAGCACTAGACCTTTTGAACAGAGCCTTAGAAGACTTTTGTGAGCGAGCTGCTGCGTGTGGAGGGGAAGCTGGACCCAGAAGTGGAGAATCAGAAGTATGTCTGTGTGACCGAAGCCAACCGAGGGAAGCAGCTGGAACAAGGCCAAGCCTGGGAAGACTGAACAAGCCCTCGGTTTGGGTTTTGGCTTCTTAGAAAAGGCCATGCTGTGTAAACTGACAACCTCCTGCCTCAGCCTCCTGGGTTGTGGGATTACAGTCACAGACACCATGCCTACTTTCACACTAGCATCTTTTACTGCAGAGCAAATCGCTCCAGACTCAGTGGCCTCAAACAGCACTAGCTACTCCTTTCTGCTCCACAGCTTTTGTGTGTGAGGACTAGGGAGTGACAGCTGGGCGTTCCTGCTGACGTTCAGTCCAATGTCATCTGGAACTAAACCTCAGCCATCAGTGGACTAGGCAGCTCTGGGAGAAGTCTATCATAAAGCTGGCAACTAGGTGTTGGCTGTCTCAAGGGGGAAATCATTTCCTCTCCAGGGGTTCTCTCCCCGGGTCTTTTTAGGGATTGTGCATGGTGAATGGCTCCTCTGAGGAGAGCAAATCCAAGACACTGAGGCAGACACAGCCATGCCTTTTATGACCTGACTTTGGAAGTCACACACAGAGTCCTGATTCTGCGTGAAAGCCATTCTACAATTATGAATCTCACAAAGGGAAGGCTATGGAAGCCATCATGGCATCAGCTAAGACATCCCACACAATTCTGAGGGCAGTATCTTTTTCTCTGAGTGGAATAGCATTATGGTTGGCTTTAACACCAGAATGGTATTGTGGTTAAGTTAATTCGAACTTGCCACAAATTAGGATCACCTGGGTAGGAGCCTCCCCTGAAGAACTGTCCTAACTGCTTTCATAGACATGGAAAGACTGTGGGCAGAACCTTGTGGTTACAATCTAGGTTTTCTACAAAGGGGGTGTGCAAAAGGAAGATCATTCCTGCCTTTTGCTGATTTGGTCTTCACTCCTGCCACTGAGTTCATTTACTCTCTACTGGTATCAGAACCACTGTTGCCAAACTGTCATAGACTAGGAACCATCAGCTCTCCAAGAAACTTCTGGATTTCTAGTGCTAACTTAGGGGTCGTGACTTCACCCCTACCCCAATGAGAGACAATTGCTATGGGACTAATTGGGCTTCTGAGGTACTGAGCCTCAAAGACTGAGTGACCCCTGGATTCTCAGCTCTCGGTGTGATTCTGCTATTATTATTTTAAAGATGACTTAATGTAAATTTAATAGATTCAGATATATGTGTAAAGAGAATAGACAGACAGACAGACAAATAGACTGACCTCATTGGTTCTGTTCCTCTAGAGAACCATGACTCATACAAATGATGAGCCATTGGGAGTTTGTAGCAAAAGGTATTGTGATCTGTCTTGTTTTAAAGTGGGTTTTGAGTGCAGCCTGGAGAATCCACCCTCAGCAGGCAAGTAGCCAGAGTGGAAACAAGGAGAATAGCGAGGATGTCCCAATGTCCACAATTCAAGAGGGATTATGGAGTCTGAGAGGCTGGTGACAACGTTAAAATGGAAAAGAAGAGTCTAGATCCTTCTGAATATGCTCTGAAGTTGATGTCAACAGAAATCTTGATTGATTAGGATCAGATATGAAAAAAATGAGGATCAAAACTGAGGAGGCAGAGGCAGAAGGATCTGGAAAGCTGGTGGCCAGCCTAGGCTACGTGGTAAGAATTTGCCCTAACAAAACTAAAAGGATATTGACCTGGAGGAGTGGCCATTGCCCTGTGCTCTATCCTGGCACCAGGCAGACCCCTTGCCATGGCAACTCACTGAAATGGGAGGAGTTTCCAGAGTATTGACGGAATATTAGCCAAAGTCTGTCTAAAAGGCATTGATCCAACACACTGACATTTTGAGTAAAAGGAAGCCAATGTCATTTCCAATGAAATGTAAAAACTAAAACTGTTGTAAAATTAAACTGAGGCATGTGTAACTATTTACTAAAGCTGCAGTAGGCTATGTAGTTTCTCTGTCCAGTGTCCCCTTTCCTGGCAGCTTTTGGATGACAAAACAGTGTGTTTCATCTTTTGTTCCATTCCACATTAAAAGAAATGCTGTTAGCAAGAGGACATGCTCACTCATTACACAACTTTAAAGCTTTATTGTAAAAGCAGTATTTCTCTAAAACTTTTAACTTTTCCAAGTTTTTTTCCCCAGTATTCTGAAAGCAGAGGCAGTAAGACCACATATTTAAAGCCAACCTGGGCTACATAGCAAACTCCAACAGGGTCTGCAATAAGACCCTGTCCAAAAAAGTTGTTCATTTGATCTGATGTTTGACACTTCACGTAGAATATCCTAAATCACTGTGGAGATCATCACTGACTAGAACAATATTGGATTTATAGATTATATTTATAACAATTTCCTGGAATTATATTAAAAACATAATACAGTTTCTGACCTGTCCTAAACTGAATTTGTTTTGACTGGAAGTCTTGAGCTTCTTGCAAATTGGTGAAAGAGCATTGTTGAAGCCACAGTTCACACTTAGCTATCAGACCAGGTCCTTCAATGCACTCTCATTCTCTCATTGGCCACTCCCTCCCTCAGTATTCCACTCAACCCCCATACTCTACACTGAGAGGCACACGGAGACCCAGACAAATCCTTTGCTCAAGGAGCTTCTAGGACACCAGGAAAGACAGGTGTGAGAGCTGAAAAGCCACCACACAAGAGTAAGGGTGGGGTACTGTGGCAACACGGAGGAGAGGCTCTGGTTCTGCCTTGATTATTATCCAGCCGAGATCTGGAGCACTGGGGTGGAAGCAGGGTGCACAGAGAGGAGTAGGCACACAAAAAGGGAAGGGACACTGAGTCACCTGCCAGCCAGTTTAGTAAGGTGGAGATGTGAGAAAGACAGAGGAGGGTGGAGAGCAGAGGAAACCCTGAATTAGTCCTGAGTGAATGCGTGTTGTTGACATGGGCATGGCCCTGTCAAGAACCCTAAGACCGCAGACCCATGGAGGAATGCCAAAGC